GTTTGTGTGCACTTTGGATGGGTAAATGCAGAGCACTAATTCCGAGTATGGGTCACCATACTTGGCCACATGTCACGTCACATGTCACGTCACTTTATTCAGTAAAAGACATCTGTGGTTCTCAGTCAAGTGTGTGGAATAAATACACTAATAAATTGCAAATAATACAGGAAAACTCATGTAAAAACCGAGATTGTGTGGCACTGGAAGACATGAAAAGTAAATGTGGGAGTCATGGATAAAGAAAAAACACTGTCACTGGTGGAAAATCAAGCTTTCAAAAGAATGGTCAGCATCCCAGGTGACACCCTCAAAAAAAAAAAAAAACTAAAGGGGATGAAGTACCAACAGGCCTTCCAGAAAGTAAAGATTGACAAACACTAACAAGCACAGATATAAATGCAGGTGATCAATGCAGTATTGAATAACACAAGCATTGTAAGAGCTGTTGGGGCTGCAGTGTGACTGGTGGAACATTTGGTCAAAAGTGAAAAAGCGTGTATGAAATAGGTGTAATACCTCCACAATAGCCAGAAGTAGTAATTTTTTTTTTAATTAGTGGGTTTGGTTAACTGACTGCATATTGAATACCGTAGCAGGTGCAGAAATAGTTCATGGGAGACTGGGACAACATGTCACAACCTGGAGCTGAACACGTTCAAAACAGTGGAGCTGATAGTGGACTTCAGGAGAAACCCCCCTGCACTCCCCCCACTCACAATTATGAACAGCACAGTGGCAACAGAGGAGTCATTCAAGTTCCTGTGCACCACCATCTCTCAGGACCTGAAGTGGGACAATCACACTGTGAAAAAGACCCAGCAGAGGTTGCACTTCCTTCACTAGCTGAGGAAGTTCAACCTGCCACAGGAGCTGCTGATACTCTGCTGTTCTACTCTGAAGTCAGTGAATCCATCCTCTGCACTTCTAACTGTCTGGTTCAGCTCAGCTACTAAATCAGACCTTAGAAAATTGAAGCGGATAGTCCAGGGTGCTGAGCGAATTACTGGTACAACTCTCCAAGAACTGCACTCATCCAGAGTGAGTAAAAGAGCTGGCAAAATCATTCTGGACCCCTCACATCCACGCCACTTCCTCTTTGAACTGTTGCTGTCTGGTCGGTGCTACAGAGCACTGAGCACCAGAACAGCCAGGCATAAGAACAATTTCTTCCCTCAGGCAATCCATATCATGAACTTGGCAATAACAGTGTAATACACAACACTATTTATACTTTTATTTATTTAAAACATTTATTTATTTTATTTATTTAAATTCCCTGCATTTGTACATAATACCTGTACACACAAATGCCTTCTATTGTCTATTTGTATATTGTTTTTTTAATATATATATATATATATATATTTGTTGTATATTAGTATTTCCTATTTACTTACTCTATTTTTATTATCTGTGCCTTGTCACTCGAATCTGTTTGTGCTGTGAAAGCTTCTGTCCCCAAAACAAATTCCTCATATGTGTAAACAAACCTGGCAATAAAGCTCTTTTTGATTCTGATTGTGATTTTATGTTACAAAGTTTATGTTTTGGCACATATACTGGTACCTTAAAAAAGTTACAGTGCCAGAAACATATATATATATATATGCCTACATATCTCGTTCTGGTTAAAATCTGCAATTATTATGCCTTAGTTGACTATTGTCTGAAAGAATGCTATAGGGTTGTTTAATGTTACTGTGCTTTTTATTGTCTTCATAATGATACTGAATTTTAGTTTGGTTATATATCTTTTTTTCCCTTTGGTCATATTTTGAATTACTCTGTACAGGCCAAGGATATCACCGAATTTATTTTGGCTTTTAACAATTTTTTTAAAAATATTAATTCTGCTGCCATGAGAGAGAAAGAAAAGAAAAGAAAAAGACAGTTCATGAGAATCAATGTCACCTGTAGTATGACAATATCGCCAGCAGACAGCAGTGCTAAATTAGGTTTTGTGTTTCACATGCCATGTATTCTCTTCATATGTATAAAATGGCATTGAAATAGGGCATTTACTAAATATACTTTCATTATGTTGCCATTTGGCAAATATTCAAGTCTCACTACATTTACATGTGCTCAAGTGAGGATAAAGGTAGATTCTGTTATCAAAGTACATGTTGCTACATCTCAGGCTGTGGTAATCCAAAGCAAATAAATCAGGAGAACTGATGAAATATCAGCCACAGTTTTAGATCAGTCAATAATTATCCTGTGTGAATTTAATATGAAACTGATCAATGATCATTTAAAATGACTTGAATATGAAACTGACGATATACTGTATTGTTGTAGGTCATTCTGTGATAGATCTATTTGAATGAACAGTGTGAATTTTACAGTGTGATTGCCGTTATCAACCATTTGTTTGTGCGTAAAGAAAGTAGAGAAGTGTCAATGATAAACCAGTTGATATACAGTACTAACAGACTAGTTAACATAAGTATTAACTCTCCCTTTCATTAGCACTCAATATCCAATTCGAAATATTTGTAATAATTACAAAATATTTGTAATCCTGTATTATATATGGGCCATCACCCACCCTAACTGAAGATATGGAATGTTAAAAGTAATTAACCAACTAGTAAGTGTAAATAAATTGTCCAATAAATGTTAATTCTGATTTGCTTACAAATCTGAAACACTTCTAAAGTACAACAATGATACTGGGTGCCAATACAATGTGAGGGAGTTGTTATGTTGGGTTGACAAAGGCTGTTATTGTACAAACATGGATTAAGTTTTTTTTCCAAAACTAAAATTTCTCATGGACTTGTTCAGAGACTTCTTCACAATAAACATTTGAAGCGGCGGTATGCTGCATTCACTATAATTATTAGGCTATGTGACCTCATCACATTTCATGTTTAATTTATTAAGTGGCATCCAGTTATCATCTTGGAAATAGAAACTGTTTGTTTTTTTTCTAATTCAATATTGGTCATCCTCGGTAGAAAAAACAGGGCTCCCCAATGCAGCAATTCTTGAGACGTGGGACAAAACAGGTCCGGCAAGGGTAACTGCTATTAGGTTTAAAAATAAAAATATTTTCAATTTTAAATGTCATGAGGGATTAATAATAGAATGTATTTAACACAATTATCACCTTCAATTTAATTTTCTCATTATTATACCAAATCTATGTTTCTTAATCCCCTCTCACTACATCTAAAACAGTGTGTCCACAGAGAAGGGTTCAATCATTCATATGCAATAAAATGGATAAAAATGTTTTTTTAATGATGTTTTATCAAAAGCAACACTTAATAATATCTCCTATCAAAGCAAGTTTGTTTTGTATTGACACATGCATGTTTCATAAGATTTTAAAGTTGCGTCTCCACTTTTTGTCAACACCGTCAGGCATTCAATAAAATGTAATAAAACCAGGGAATATCAGGGCCAGCTGTCACTCTAAAGGACCCCCTTGCCACAGTTCACCTCTGCAGAGTACATCAGTGTCAGACAGGCTCTGCCAAGTTTTATAGTTTTAGAATATTTTAAATCCTAATGTTAATTTTTCCATTGTCACAGCCATGATAGGTCCACACCATCTTCCAATTTCTGAGGAAATTATTGGAAATATTTAGATAATTGTATTCTCCTGAAGCAGGTTCCATTAGCATCAAGCATCAACAGAAAAAAATTAAATGGCTACTACATGAACTCCACTGGCTTTGTGAAAGAATTGTCAAATTTGTCAACACCGTCAGATGTCACCACCATAAGATCTTGTGTTCCAATGATATATCAAAATACTTAAATGTAACTCTTGAATAAAAGCTTTATAAACAATAACATACTCACTGATTGTTGTGTTTGTTTTAATACAGTAATTGACTGATTCAATGTATTTGATAGTTAAAATTATTACAAATTCAGGTTTTCGTCTCCTCCGTCAGATGTGTCACCTCCGTCAGTTGAATATTTTGATAATATTTCATTATGATATTTCATATTTGTTGGAATTGTTGGTCACATGTGAAAGTGGAATCGGTCTGCTAACACCAGAATGTGTTTTGAAATGTTAAAAACGTCTCGAATGCTGTTAAAGATAAAGCTGAAATTATATTACACAGTCCAAGGTGAAAAAGCACATTTTGTTAAAAAAGAGAAAAGTTGGGAGGTTGTATCAAAGCATAGCTCAGTAGCTTAGTACATATAAGATACATTAATGTAGTTTCATTTGTCTGAGTACAAGGTTTTATTTTTTCAATTTTGCACCCTGTTTTGTCCCACTTCTCAAGAATGACAAGCCGTTCGTTACTTAAGATGTAATGTAAAGTCCACACCAAAGGCTTAGTAACTGCCAGCGGGTTAACTCTGTACTTTATTCAGGTGCACCATTTGTTCATTAGGCAGGATATAGCTACAGCAGTGCGTAAGCTCTTCATAATATACTGCATAGTAGCGCAATATGATGTTTACCCTCAACTTCATTTGCCTCATGTAACAGTAAAAATATGTTTCCGTTGAAATACAATACTACTTAGTCATCAATAATGTAACAGGCATTTTTATAGGCTATGTAAATAACAATCAGAAACTGTATTTGAAATTAATAAGGATTAATAAATAAAAAAATGTATAAATTACATTTATATATAATGATTGATTTCATTTGACCTTCTGGCAACATCCTAGGAAAATAAAAAAACATTAGGCCTAAATATACTTTCGATTACAAGCCTATTTTTCACAGCTTTGTAAAGCCAAACATTTAAGATTGTCTTGATGGACTTTACTCTTTTAGTTCATACACTGAATCTCCACATCAAATATATTACAATCGTTTTGATTTGTTGTTTGATAGAACATACTACACCAGAAGACATGTGTGTCTAACGTCAAATCATTGGGCACAACTTTCTATTTATTTGCATGCGTGACCCCGCCCCGAGCAAGGCGCGCAATACTATTGGTCCACTGATAGAGCGTGAGTGGTTGCATCGGTGAGGTCAAAGCACGACGTCCAGAAGTAACCCCCCCTCGCAGCACACCACCGTGATGCTGCTGTCAGAGGCTGGAACTCCAGAGCCTGTACCGTTATGCTGCTATATAGCCTATTAGCCATGGGCTTGGAGATGGGCTTCAATTAGAAGGGAATTCAGTCGATATTAAAACGTCGGGTTACACACCTCAGAATTGCTTGCAGACTCTTTTCGCACGGTGAGTAACGTTACATAATCTTAATAGCGAGTGCCTGCTAACTGTAACGCTGCACATGACACCGCACATACTGGACGGACTTACAAAACATCAACAGCGCCTTTGGCTGGCGAACCTGGGCAGAGCAGATGACAGGAGGGTTTGTGACGGATGAGTTAGCATGTGCGCTAGGTTGAATATAAGTTGAGACAGGCTTTTCACATGTTTGAAAGATGAAAAAATAGATATGTATAAATATCACTATCATACTGACTGAAGGGAACCGGTTATGTACTGCTAGCAGAAATGAGACCTGAATGAAAGAGTTAGTTTATTGAAACAGTTTCACACATGGTTGAGGGTCCGCGAAGCTGAGACTCGTTGATCAGGTTCATCAGGCTGGATGAGGGGCGGTTATAGTCTTGCATGTGGCAGTCCTGCAGCTGAGTTGCTAAATCGAGGTACAGTAATCAGACAGGTTCACATGGAGTCAAACGTAAGATACAATAGCGCTACCGTTACAGAACTTGTCTTTGTGATACAGTGATGGGAATCGATGAAGTACCATGGTGCTTCAATGGTACTACATGCCTTCTGTAGTATTATAAAGACTATGTATTGCATGTTCAAAAACGTAATATTGCTATGGTACCATGTCCATAGAACATAACTTACAAATAGATACCAAAAATGCGGTGATACTACATTTTAGCAACGTGTCATGTAAATGTCATGGTATTTGTAGTGTAGTCATGGAATGAACTAAACCTATTAAAATAATCTTCTTTAATTGCTATAAAGGCAAAATAATATAATAGATCAAAAACGTAGAAATTAGAATGCTGCATTGGAAACTAACTGAAATAAGTTGAAGTTAAAGTGCTACAATACTAAAACTGAAATAAAAATCAAATTTACGCTAGAGGTGTAACGGTTCAGATTGCTCACGGTTCGGTTCGCGGTCTTAAAGCTGCGGTCACGCTACACTTTTCGTTCCATTGACTCAGACCAGAAAAAGTTTTCGCATTTCGCTGCGTTCCAAAGTTCAAGTTTGGTGAACTAGTGCTGGGCGGTATACACCGGTTCATACCGAATACCGGTGTTTATTTTTGTTATGATATGAATTTTTTAAATACCGCAATACAACGTTCGGAACGGGACACTGTTTGAAAGGGGTCCCTTTTCACTGTTGCACTGTGGTGAGGGAACAGCTGTATGTGTTACTAAGCGTGGAAGTTCCTAAACTGAAGCTGTAGAACTAATAGAACGTGATGACACGGAAGAAGTCATCCACATTGACCCCCACAAATATCCACCGCCCCCTGCCATCAGCTCCCGTGTCTCTCACACACACACACGAGCGCGACTTTAGCACTAGATTTAGCAACCTTACGACCCTTTTAGCGGCTTTTTCCCATAGAATATTCATACTGACAAACCTAGCGACTTTTTTGGATAAACCTTAGCTATGGTTCAGTTGGAAGATTTCGCCAGTGCTGTCCCGCGAACGCGAGGTCTGACTTTACCGGAGAAGTGTCGCCTCTCTCGGCGTCTGTTCTGTGCAGTGAGCGGCAGAGAAGCAGCGCTTTCAGTTGGCCGCACCGCAGCCGACTCGTCAATAAATGAGTACAAAACAGCGTTTCCTAGCACCTGCCGCTTACTGATTGTTTGGAATTATAAATATGAGTGTAGTACGTCTGTTAATATCACATGCACTTTTTTTGTTTGTTGTTTTTTTTAGTTTGTTACTCAGATGCAGGCAGTGCGCTGCATGAGACAAAAAAGTAATATAGCCACTCTTTAGTGTAGATGCATGTTGATTTTATCAGATGATGCCCCGATTATAAATGAGAGTGACTCCTTAGTTAACGTATTAAAAGGGGTCGTGTTTAGTCACTATTTGTAGTATTTTTTGACAATATTCACTCATCATGACTGTAATATAGGCCATTCTAAGTCAATATACTGCAGTATTTCCTCTCTCAATCAGTAGAAAATATGGTTAACACGCGGTCATGCATGAAAAAAAAAAAATACCGTCATGTACCGTGAAACCGGTATAATTTTTAAAAAAACAAACAAAAAAAACTGCATGCACTGAAAAGAGCTGTTTTTTGATGGTAAAAAAGGCGTTTTTTACACTACCATTGAGAAATTTTAACCAAACTATGTTACAGACTTTCCATTAAAACTCTAAATAATCATATCAACTTGATTTCCTAGTCTTTTGTTGTTTAACATTAAAGGGGACATCAGATGCCCATCGTACAGAGAGTACAGCGATACGTATCGTGGGTGGTGTATCACAGTTTTTCGGTTCCGTTTGAATATCGTTACACTCCTAATTTAAGATGAATAGAAATATGAGTAACATTTTAAGGTTACACTGGTGACTGCGATTATTCAGATTATTCAAATCAAAAGTTGTATCTCTTACTATTACTTAATGTACCTGTGCTAACAACAACTAACAATGAACAGATGTGTTCATGTAATTCAAAATCTTAATAAATACTATGATAGTAAATAATAACTAAAATAGCACTGGTCAAAGTTCCTTGGTATTATTTATATAGCACTGTCTTGTTACTGTACTTGTCTTTTTTTCCAATAAGGCATGTTTTGATGGGGTCTGTTGCTTTACTGTTCATGAATATGGTAAAGCAAGTTTCAACATGCATTTCTAGAATGTACCCTGTTGAATCGAGAATACATGAACTCAACTATTTGTCTATCATATCCCTTATGAAAATTAATGGCTTGGTTACGTACGTAACCCTCGTTCCCTGATGGAGTGAACGGAGATGTTATGCCTTGTCGATATTAGGGGTCTTACTTGGGAGCCCCAATCACCTCTGAGTAGTAAAAAACAGGCCAATGAACACTGGCGAGTGGAATTTGACCAACCACTCCCCTGTATACAGGTATATAAGGCGGTGGCATGCATCCACTCATTCAGGTTTATGCTGAGGAGCCGAGACCATGTCCCAGCATTTAGCGAGTAGTTCAGGGTTGTGGCAACGGGACATAATGTCTCCATTCCCTCCATCAGGGAACTAGGGTTACGTTTGTAACTGAGACGTTCCCTATCTATCGGTCACTACGAGTTATGTCATGATGACATTAGGGGTCCTATGGAAAACGCCATAACCACTGAACGCCATTACAGCCCGTGGCGCTGCAAATGCTGGCAAGCCGTGGTGTGTCAAGCAAATGTGGATGCAAAAGCCAATGGTGAGTACATCGCTGCTGGAGAAGGCCACGATGCTGTTCCTTTCACAGAAATTCTTTAACAGAAGGAATTTCAACTTTTTTTTTTCAGCAAGGCTAAATGATTACTGTTGGGTAAACGTGCCTAGGTCCAAGGGATAAGGCTGCTACGGAGACCACATCCTACCCGTAGGGAGGTGACATGTGGAGATGGGCAGTACTACACGTGGAATAGGTCTCTGAGTTAGGCCCTACCTGGAAGTAGGGATGGAGCTACTACCAACAGCGACAGACCGAGCAGAATCTGTCCAGGGGAAGACACGGATTTACCAAGACGGAAACCTTACCGTGGAAGAATACACATCTGGGATTACCTGCAGGGAATCACACTGATGGGACACCTAGCCCAGTACAGGGGCTGACTGAAACTCCGGCCATGCTAACACAAGTACAGTCCTCTGCCGAGGGTGCTGGAGGATGCTCGACCAGGGTTCGCCGTCCGGGGAACTGTACTGGGAGAGAGAAAAGCAAGGTGCTCGCATCCCCCTTGTGAGGGGGAATGGTGCAGCAAGCATGACACAGAGCAAGTTCTGCCTGCCACTTACTATTACTCAACACACAGGAAGAGACCTGCTCTATGCAAAGGTTGTAGAACGTTATGAAGGTGTTAGGTGTCGCCCAGCCCTCAGCTATGCACATTTCTGCAAGAGAGGCGCCCAGGAGGAGGCTACACTCCTACCCCAAGAGGGCACGGCTCGCCTTGGGATTGTTACGCCAAGGCGATGGCATCCAATATCCAGTGGGCCAACCTCTGCCTGAGACAGCCTTCCCCTTCTGCTGACCTTCGTAACAGACAAAGAGCTGCTCAGAGCTTCTGAAGCTCCGAGTGCGGTCCACGTATATGCGCAGAGCTCATACAGGACACAGCAATGCCAAGGCTGGATCTTGCAGGCGCTTGCAGGCTCAACACTTAGTCCCGGAAGGGAGTAGGGGGAATCTTTAGATCTTTAGGAAAAAAATCTAACCGTATGGTTCTCCACACACGGTTCGGCACGCGCTAGGTGCGTTCAACTTAAATCTGACAACGCATCTGTAATATGGTTTGATAAATAACACGTAAAACAAACAGGGTTCAGCTAATGTATGTTTCTGTTGATGGATACGCATTGTGACTTCCCAGTACATTACAACAACAGCGATGAGAGAAGAAAAAAAAAAGTGGACAAACCATTCACTCTTGTTCAATTCGAATGCCGTATGCTGGAATATGATCAGTCATTTCTTACGTCGTCACCCAGGTGCTGATAGCGCGCGCGCACACAGGTGAGACCTGAACAACACACGTTGATATCTGTGTTTAAACTAAACTCATTTAAGCTTTGCTAGTTTAAACATTTAAGAGCCAGAGGACGCGAGCTTACGCGCGCAGTGAGAAGATTTGTGTGTGCGCTTATCCGAAGCGTGCAAACCCGCACCTCAGAACACACGCAAATATTAAGCTCTCTCTGAAGTATTGTGTTTAAGGTGCGTTCAACTTAAATCTGACAACGCATCTGTAATATGGTTTGATAAATAACACGTAAAACAAACAGGGTTCAGCTAATGTATGTTTCTGTTGATGGATACGCATTGTGACTTCCCAGTACATTACAACAACAGCGATGAGAGAAGAAAAAAAAAAGTGGACAAACCATTCACTCTTGTTCAATTCGAATGCCGTATGCTGGAATATGATCAGTCATTTCTTACGTCGTCACCCAGGTGCTGATAGCGCGCGCGCACACAGGTGAGACCTGAACAACACACGTTGA